CTGCAAGCTCTGCCTCCAGGGTTCATGCCATTCTCCTGCCTCGGCCTCCCAAGTAGCTGGGACTACGGGTACCCGCCACCAGGCCTGGCTAATTTTTTGAATTTTTACTAGAGACGGGGTTTCACCGTGTCAGCCAGGATGGTCTCGATCTCCTGACCTCGTGATCCACCCGCCTCGGCCTCCCAAAGTGCTGGGATTACAGGCCTGAGCCACCCCGCGCGGCCAACCTTTCTAACTTATATTTGGTAACTGGCCTTCTAAAAACCATGTAATTAGCAAATCTTGTGGGCTTCAAAATAGATTCCAAATTCAACCATTTCCTAACTCTACCACTCCACTCTGGGGTCCAAGTCACCATCCTCACTCTCCTAGAGTACTGCAATTGCCTCATTATAAGATACAGACTGCTGGAGAAACTGCAAATTTGAAGAGGAAGAGTTCTACTGAGGACAGTTTTAGCATGCCATAATTTTCGCTACAGAAAGATGTAGATTCCGCAATCGGATAAAGTTCTTCAATGGAAATTCAGGAAGCCTTCCTAGTCAATTTAATTCATGGCTTGAGGGACTTCGGAATCCTTAGCTCCCTGAAAATCACCCCCTCCACTCTCACCCCACCCACAAACTTGGGCAATCAGGGACAATGCTGGCTACCTCATATTCACCAGCTTCCCTGGTTGTCTACTTCACCAGGTAGTTGGGGTGGGAACACTTTCCATCTCTATCTGGACCCTTCCTCCCACCTTTCCGTTCTCCCCATTTGTCTGCACTTCAAGGTCCAGGAAAACCCTGGGGATCCTAGGAGGGTCCCTTTTCAGCAGCCTCCGTTTTCACTCAACTCAGAGAAGCCTAACCAGGCTCCAGGCCTGAGAGGAGCAGTTCCTGAAAGCCCTGACTTTCGTACCCAGCTCCTTCCCTGGGCTGGGCCTCCCCAGACCTCAGCACTTGTCCAGAGAATCCCCTTCAGGACTGAATAGTTCATCCTAAGGAAAAAGGACAGCACATAGAAGGCTTTGCATCATAGGTAGCTTATTTTATTGGATTGCTTTACCAATAACACTTCTTGCATTCAGGAGATTTGCCTCAGACACATGCCTAGAAGGCCTGAGAGGGGCAGGTCTGGCCACAGATTCAAACTTTCTTCATTGTTTTTCATGTCTTTCTCAGCAAAAGTGAAGCCAAGACTTCTCTCATCCCCGCTTCCCAGGGGAGATCAGTCTCCGGTGTAGGGTGGCAGGCTAATGGAGGCGACCAGGTCGTCGTTGGTCAGGGGCTGGCTTCGGACACGCTCGAGCATCTTCAGACCTGCAAAAGAATTGCCTGAGGCTGATGAACCACAGTCCATTACTGGGGCTCTTGGTAGGCCCAGACTCCACCAGGAAGGTTCCAGGGAGGATGTCACCGCAGCCCAGGTCTTCCAAGGTAACCCATTTACTATTCCCTGCTACCCTTTCCTCTCTGAGCAATCGCATGCCACAAAAATGAGCCCTTCCCTTCCCAATGGATTCTGGGAAGAGCACCTGGATTCCCCGGCCACACAAGGGATTCTTCACGAATCCAAGATGCCACACAACACAGCCAGAACTCCACCATCAAGCCCTCCCCTCCACAGTTCAGCCAAGGATACCTACCTTGAGCGTGACGCTTGGAGTAGTGGCTCCCCACGCAACGGAACATGAGCAGCAGCCACTGCTTTGCCATTGGTGGTCCGACTACGGTCACACGAGTCTGGCCTGCAGCTGTAAAACAACTCTCCAGTTGAATAAGAGTGTGGCTGTGCAGCTCAATGCAGCGAAGGTATGTGTCACCAAGTCCTGGAAGCACAAGAGGTGAGAAGAGGAACTGTCAGCCACCAGTCCTTGGGGGGTGGGGAAGTGGCCTTGAGGGTAGGGATGTGTGACTCATGAAGGTGGGAGGAGAGGGGAAGATTGAAAACCGAGAAGGGGATGAAGGAGGCCGGCCTGGTGCAGTGACTCATGCCTGTAATCCCAGCACTTTGGGAGGCGGAGGCAGGTAGATCACTTGAGGTCAGGAGTTCCACACACGCCTGGCTGACACGGCGAAACCCGTCTCTACTAAAAATACGAAAAATTAGCCAGGCGTGCTGTCGGGCGCCTGTAGTCCCAGCTACTCGGGAGGCTGAGGCAG